AATATCAGAGAGGGTGACAGAACATGAGAGACTCCTAACTCTGGGAAACGAACAAGGGATAGTGGAAAGGGAGATGGGCGGGGGGTTGGGGTGACTGGGTGACGGGTACTGAGTGGAACACTTGACGGGATGAGCACTGGGTGTTTTGCTATATGTTGGCAAATAGAACTCCAATAAAAAATATACAAAAAAATAAATAAATAAAGCCACCTGGGGCACCTGCGTGGCTCAGTGCTTGAGCATCTGCCTTCGGCTCAGGGCTCAGGTCGTGGTCCCTGCATCCTAGGATCCGGTCTGGCATCAGGCTCCCCGTGGAGAGCCTGCTTCTCCCTCTGCCTCTCTCTGTGTGCCTCATGAATGAATAAATAAAGTATCAAAAAAAAATAAAGTGCTTCTCTTTCGTTTTTACACACCGCAGAGGATCCTCAGATAGACTTAGGTTCTCCATGCCTTAGACTCCTCAGCTAGAAAATTGACTTGTGATGGAGATGAAGTCAGGACAGGTGATGTCCCAACAGGGCTTGGCCCGTAGGAAGTGTTCCAGCATGTTTGCTCGCACCACCTATCTGAGGCCCTTAAATGAGCCACTTTTGTTTTCTGAGTCCCAGTGGGGGACTGAATGACCTCCCAATTGCCTGCCAGCTTTGTTCTTCTAGGATTCTGTGTGTCTGAGGTAGGGTAAGCAGAGATTGTTGAGCTATGATAATAGGTGATGAGGGGGTACTGGGAGCCTCCCTAAAGATGAACTAACCTGTTAAGGGCCACACAGCCATTTACTGGCCAAGATGACGTTAGGCTCCAGAGTGCTAAACCTCTAGTTTCAGGCCATTGGGCTGGCTAGGCTGCACCCAGGGGAGATTAGAAAGCATTTTGCTTTCATTCTAAAGAAAGTACAAAATGGACTTTATGGCAGCCTTTGGGACCAAGGGAAGGTTGTACGGACCTGCATAACACAGTGGTGGCCTTCCTCACTGGCCAAGGTTCCCATTTCCTGCTATATGTCCATCTCGTCTCCCAGAGCTCCCCACTACAGGTCCTTAGGCCAGGCCCTGGATTCCCTCTGAAGGGTGGCTTGAAGCATCCTCGCTGTTTGCTGGGACCCCAACAAGCAGGTGCTTCTCATTTCAAGGAGACCTTCAAGGAGACCTCACTTCAAGGGCAGGTGAGGAGGCAGAGGCCCAGAAAAGGCAAAGGAGAGACTTTGCCAAGCTACCCAACAAGCCCTGGGTGGAAGCAGATTCAAGTCTGGGACTTGGGTTTCTGGGCCCCTGGCCTTGTGTAGAGAGGAATGAAAGGGCCAGGTCAGCCTCCCAGAGAATGAGCCTTGCTTCGAAATCCTATCCCAAGTGCTTCAAGAACTATCACTGCCACAGAGGAAAGTGCTGAGGGCCCAGTCTGTCCCTAGGGAGGCCCAATGTGTTGTCTGGGACACCAGAAGCTTCCAGGGGCCAAGGCACACTCACACTGGGGAAGCAGACCCCTAGTGAGAGCGTGACAGCTGACCCCAGGTGAGGACAGAGCCAGATTTGAGGCTTGGCTGGTCAATTATTGGCTCTGAATTTGAGCAAGTGACTTGACCTCCCTGAGCCTGTTTTCCCCCTCTATAAATTGGAGATAATGATGACTGCCCTGTCCACTTCTCAGGTTTAGAGGCAGGTTTAGCAGAGATAACATTAGCTCCTGCTAGTGAGCTTGTACCATGGGCTGGGCACGCTGCCCAACACTTTCCCCACATCATTTCATTCAAATTTGACCACTGCCTTGAAAAGTAGGCAGAGCATCCTGCCAGATTTGGAAACAGGGCTCATGGAGATCAAGACACTGCCTTTTAAGTTCTCACAGATAAGTGAGCAATGGCATTGGGATTTGAACCCTGATCTGACCCAGACTTCCCCTTCCACTGAAAACCCTTTGTCAGTACTATTATTATCAGATTAGCATGGCACAGAGGCCAGCTCATAATCAGTTTATGAAATTCCCTTCATTCTAGATCCTACTGGAGAATGTAAGTCTTCTCTTCAGGCCCCAGGCAAAGGTTCAAGGGCAGAGTTTAGACAGGATTTGGCCAACTGTGACCTGCCACCTGTTTTTATAAATAAAGTTTGGTTGAAACACAGCTACATCTATTCATTTACATTTTGTCCGTGGTTGCTTTAGCACCACTCACTGGGGTAGTCGAGCCCGAGATGGAATGGCCCCCACAAAGTCGAAAATGCTACCTGGCCCTTTACAGAAAAAGTCTGCTGACCCCTGATTTGAAACATTCAAGGACATGTTCTGGATACAGCTCTGGCCGTTGCCTAAAGACCTCAGGGGGCCATTAGGAGGGAAGCCCCTTGCTGGGCTCCTTTTGTGGGCACTGGCCAGTTATATCAGGAAAAGTGACCTTTTCAAAGGGGCCCTGGAGAGGCCTTCCATTTGGGGGTTCCAGGGAAATGCTGGCTGAGTTTGCAGCCCCTTCTAGGGTTGGAGCAGAACATAGTCTTCTCTGCTGTTGCCTTTCATGGTTAGCTGGCCTGAGCTCACACTGGTCAGAAAGAAATGTTGGATTGAGCAATTCAGTTGAAGAACTTTTGGGCCAAAAAAAAAAAAAAAAAAAAAGAACTTTTGGGCCCGAACAATAAAGTTATAGAAGTACTTCAGAATGGCTGCTATGGGCCAGGCCCCATAGCTCCCTCCACAGTGGGTGAGCCCAGCCCCAGTTGGTGGTACCGAGTCAGCCAGGGCTTGTGGGAGAGTCTGGGATGTTAGGCTTTGGAGGGCTCTGGCTCATTTGACACCACCTCTGGGTGCCTAAGAAGTCGTGTGTCTGGGCCTGGGTCTGTTTGCCCCTCGAATCTCTGGCACTTTGGAAACTGCCTCATTTCCAGGGGGACTTGAAGTACTGTTGTTTCTCAAGTTGTCCCCCACCCCCACCCTTCAACCTCCTGGTCTAGGACTCATGGTCCAGGAACAGTTAAATGAGTGCCTTTTTCTCTTTACCTCTGCATTTTCAAAACAACCCTCTATTCTGATTTTGCTGTGTTTATTTGGTCAAGATATTGCCAAAGGGTGGCAACCCATATGTCCTGCCTTCTTTTGATTTGATGTCTAATTACCTTCCCAGAAGGCTATCAGCTCACCTTTCCCTCATTCTCTGCCCCAAGAAGATCAGACTGGCAGTCACCTGTGACCAGCATCCAGTGGGTTACCTATGCCCAGAGGACCCAGGTGGCTGCTCCCTGTCCTGTCCTCACCTTCACTGCCCACTGTCCTCCTGCCAACTTATGCAAATGCGATTGACCTCTGGAGGCAGTGTGAGTGATGCCACCAGTCTACACCATGCCATCTACTTCTGCACTTAAACTGAGAATACCAAACACATTTTGTACTTAAGTCTTCCCTGTAATTGGGGAAACTTCTATAGTACCATAGAAAGAATTTGCCTTCTAGAATTCAAAGTCCAGATTCTAGGTTCACTTGCTGGCTTCACCACTCTGAGCCCATTTTCTCATTTCTCACTTGTGAAACAGGAGTTGGGGGACTGTGTCATCCAGTCATTAGGATGATAAAATGAGTTATTTTTAAAAAGAGCTCTGAAAGCTATTGAAGGGCTGCACACTCCTGGGTCGGTATTAAGTTCTCCGGCCCTGCCACCACCCCCCTTCTCCTTGGTTTCATGGAAAATTAGAGCTTTGGGGGTGATTAGGGAGGTAACAGACCAATCAGCATGAAGCCAGCCCACCTAAAACCTCTTTGCCTAACCAGTCACTCTGACGACTAGTTTGCCTAAAAGTCAAAGTAGTAATTTTGAAAGAAGGCATTTTGTACCAATTTTCCTAAGAGGCACTTCCAGCATAATGTCATATTTTTAAATCACTATGTCGCAATCTGCAGCATTTTGTCAATGATTGTGAGTTGTATGCTTGTGAGTTGTTTTTCCTATTTTATTTCCTACTGAGTTTTATGACCTTTTGGCAAGTTTGTCTGCAGACCTTTCCTTAAAATTATGTCTTTCTATTTTTTTAAATTATGTCTTTCTAGCCCCAAATACTTGTCAAATCTGTAGAATATCCCACAAGATTTATCAAATGCACCTTTTTGATGATTATGTCTCCTCACCGGGTTGTACTCTGCGTTGTGTATGCCTGTGTGCACCTAATGAGTTGATTAACCAAATTAGCATGTACCCATGCTCCTCTCTGTTCGGCAAGATACTGGCCTTTCGACAGCAAACGTGAAGAAGTGAGACAGATGGGGCAGAATTGTATTGAACTCCTTGCGTTTTATTTTTCAGGCTTTCTCATTCATCAAGCAGCTCTATATTGTGAAACATAAAATGATACATACAAAGTCATTACCAAGTGTACTTATTGCAGGAAACATAATGATTTTCGAGAAAGGCAAACTGGCTAAAAAGTCCCGAAAGTGTTCAGAAGTAGATAAAATTAGAAGACACCCACCAAGGATATAAAACAAATTTTAGTGGGAATCCCACCTTTAACCAGAATGTCCTTAAATCAATTGCTTCGTAAAAAGCTTTAAATGACACTGAAGGGGGGCGGGGAAGGACACCCAAACAGATACCAAAACACTTAAAAGCAGGCTGAATGTTATGTGGACCAGTCATTAAGCGCAGAGATTCCTTTTAGGAGTTTGTGGCAAATTGGTTCGAGGCCATTTGACCTGGAATCGATGTAGGCACTTACCTCCGTGCAAGTGCAATATGTGGGCATGGGGACAACCATGGGCCTCAGGGGACAGGAATGCCCCTCCTGAACATGACCTCCAAGAGAAAGGGTGAATTGTCAGCTTTTAACTCTTTATTATAAAGACATATTTACACAGAACAATCTTTACAAACACAGTGAACACAATTATGGGAAGGGGACAATTTCTGAATGAAAAGGGCCTTAATATCTTTGTATAAATTAGTATAAGAATCATACACAACCATTTTAAATAAGACAGGCCCCCAGCCCCCCCCCCCCAATGCCCCCTTCTGCCCTGTGTCTCTGGACTTTACCAGCTTACCCCCTCTCCCCAGGGGGCCTGGCAGCTGATGAGGCAGGAGACGCAGAGAGGAGGAGGGGAAAGAAGGCCCAGTCCCTGGTGGGGGCATCAGTGACAGAAGAGGCTTTCTGGACCCTGGCCAGTCCCCACATCCAGACCACGGGGTGCGGGGGAAGCAGGTGCCCAGCTGGCTCCTCAGGGTGGGCCTGGAAGCAGCAGCAGTAGCAGCAGCAGCAGCAGCAGCAGCATTAGCAGCAGCAGAGGTGAGGGGGAGAGGCAGTTAGGCAACGTCGGGGTTATTGTGGGACTCGGAGGGCCCTGACTCCCCCTGTCCCCACACATACATAGATGGCCATCAGGCTCTTGTCTCCCCTTTCCTCCCTCCTGGGAGGTCTCTGAGAAGGCAGCCTGCTCAGACCTATACTTCCTCCCTCTTTTTTTCCTTCCTTCCTTCCTTCCTTCCTTCCTTCCTTCCTTCCTTCCTTCCTTCCTTCCTTCCTTCTCTCCTTCGTTCTTCTGCCCCTGGCCCCTCCCTGGAGGAAAGGCCACTGGGAAAGAAGGTCCGGTCAATGCAAAGGGAAGGCCAATTAAGGCTCCCTGCTGGCTCCCAGAAACCAGTGTCAGTAGGGGTTGGAGTGAAAGCCTCAGTACCTGAGTGGCCCCTATGAGAATACCAGGGTCTGGAAGTGCAGCAGGTGGGGCAGCTGGCCAGTGACCGGACCTTTGCAACTCAGGTTGGGGAAGGACAGGCAGGGGCAGGCCAGGGAGGCGGGAGCAGCTGGGTCCCCCCACAACTGGGCAGTTCGTGGCTGCCCCTCCTTCTCAGCCCTGCCCGCCCCAACCCCAAGAAAGGCACTTAATGTGTTGCGAAAAGATATCATCAAGAGGGAAGAGGACATCATCAAGTGGGAGCAGGGAGACCTGGGTCCTCATTCTGGCTCAGCTGTGACCCTGAATAGATCACCGACCCTTTCCAGGCCTGCTTTCGCAGGAGTTTGCATAAGGGGTCTGAGCAAAGTGATCGCCAAGGTTCCTTTTGGCTCTGACATTCTGTGATTCTTGGCAAAAAACACCCCTGCTTGGCTTTAGCTCCTAAGCAAGAGAGCTTGAACTAGCGGGCAAGGGAAGGAGGGAGTTGGAAGGTGGGGTGGGGGGCAGTGTTAGGAGACAAAGAAAGGTGACAGAGGTGACAAGGTACTTCACAGCCCCTCTCCTTTGTTTCTTCCTTAAGCCAAACATGGCCTGGGGAAATGGCCACAGCAGCTAGTCTTCCTCCTCCCCAAAGCTTTTCCCCTCTCCCTTTTGCCAGAGGACCGAGCCCCATTGCAATGTCCCCCTAAGCACCCCGTCTGCGTCGCAATGCCTCAGCTCTTCCAACCGGCACCTCCGTGCTGGGTGAAGGGCCAATGGGACTCCAAAGCCTGGGACTGGCAGGAGCCCATTGAAGAAGGCAGTGGCCTCCCACCACCCGCAGCACCACCCCCCCTTCCCAGGCACACAGGAGGCAGGAAGGGTTATGGGCGGAGCTTGGGCTGCAGGATGGGAGCGAGGCGGGGACCAGAGAAAGGGGAAGCCTGGTCTCCAAAGTCAGTCCAGTGAAGGGCCAGGAAGAGGGGCTGAACGGATCCGTGGGAGACAAAGGGAATCATCGCTGAGGCAGGACTGTGCCTTTGGGGAAGCCGGTGGGTGAGAAGAGCTAGGACCATCAGCAGCAAGGACAGGTGCGACAAGAGAGGCGAGTGGAAGTGAGGGCTCCAGAGAAGCAGACCAATCTATGGAGTAGCCAGAGTTGCAGGAGGCGGCGACTCGGGGGGCCCCTTCCATCCTAAAGAGACAAAAATGACCAGAGAGAAGTCACTGGCATGTCCTAGGTCAAAGGAACCAGCCGGGCAAGGAAAGGAGACAGCCTTTGTTCCCCTCTCCCCACAACCCTGAACCTAAGCCCAAGGCCCGGGAGTTGATGCCACCTTGTCCAGGCTAGAGGGGTGAGACAGCAGGCCCGGCCACAGGGGAAAGCAGGCCTGTCTTTCTCTGCTACTGCTTGCATTTTTTCTTTCTTTCCTGTGGCTCTGGGCAACTCTCTTTCTGTTCTCTGCCTGCTGCCCGCCCGCCACCCCTGCAAGGCTCTCTGCCTCCCTCTCCCCTCTTTGGTGAAGATCCACCCTGCACATGTTTAGGATACCCTGAGGCCCCCCTCTCCAGCTCTCAAGGCCCCCCAGGACTTCTAGAACTCTCCAAGTGGGCCAGCCTGCCCAACCCCAGGTGGAGATTGGCCCCAGGCGGCCAGCTCCTCTCCAGGCCTTGGTCTCCACATCTGTAAAATGCAGGGGTAAGATGGGTACTCTGGAAGCCCCTGTGCTGTGTGCCGGCCCAGAACTGCTTGGTGCAGGTGTCTGGCCAGCGATAAGCAGCAGGGTCACTCAACTTCCGGGCTTTCCTTCCCCTGCTCCTTCCGCTGCCCACTGACTAGAGAGAGGCTCAAGTACCTGCTTCAGAAAGGCATGGGGCCCTTATGGGAGAGGCGTGGCCGCTGACGGCGAAATTTCTTCCGACCGCCCTGCCAGGGCCCCAGTCCGTTTCTCGAGCCTCTGGGCTGCACCAGGTGGCGGATATTGCCTTCCTCCAGCCCCTTGCCGTCAGAAGGCTGCAGCAGTGGCCCTGCAGGAAGAGGAAAGCCTGTTAGCTAGGGAGGCTGATGCGAATGGACAGAGGGCTGCGGGCTCACGGTAGGGGCAACCTCTCCCCTACCGTGGAGAGGTAGTACTCATTGAAGCTTCCCTTTGGTTTTATCTTCCATCTTGGTGAACAGTTTGCAATTTTTACACTGGCCTGGGCCAAACCTACTACTCATATCTTGTAATTTATGGAACTGACTTTATGGCCTTTTGGCAGTTCTACCATGTTTCTGGCAGGCACAAATGTGTTCTTCATTTAGAACATCATTGGGGGAGGGGTACAATCTGGAGCATATGTCTGTACTTGGTTAGGGCACAGCAAGCAATAACTCCCCATGGCACCCTTGTCACGGATGCACTTCAAACATTTCACGCATACAATGAAATGAATCCCCTACTACCACATACCCATCACCCAGGTTCAACAGCTATCCAGATGGAGTCACATATGCATTAGTTATCCCTTTTCTCTTTTTTCTTAGTGGAAGTATTTTACAGCAAATCCAGAACACCATGTCATTGTGCTCTGACATCCTTCAATAGGCAGGTGACCCACTTTGAGATCTCCTACCTCATCCCTGGGCACCTCATCAGTGTTTCAGCCTCACTAAGGTTCCCTTGTTCCCTGTCATGTCCCTGTGGGTATGGCTGGGGTGGGGGGGTCATCTCTTGTTCTGTGAGCCTTAAGCTGGGTTCTCTTCAGCCTGTGACCAGATTTAGAGGCCAATAAATATTATCAGAATGAATGAGTGACCCAGTGAGTGGACGGCCACTTGAAGCAGCAAGTCTGTGCATCAGGAGGGGTGTGGCAGGGGGATCCCTGAGTGGCGCAGCGGTTTGGCGCCTGCCTTTGGCCCAGGGCGCGATCCTGGAGACCCGGGATCGAATCCCATATCGGGCTCCCGGTGCATGGAGCCTGCTTCTCCCTCTGCCTGTGTCTCTGCCTCTCTCTCTCTCTCTCTCTGTGACTATCATAAATAAATAAATTAAAAAAAAAGGAGGGGTGTGGCAGAAGCTACAGCATCTGCCTTGTGTTTTGGGGTCCCTCAATGATGCTGATGTTACTGGCACCTCCCCACCGAATGCCCTGTCTCCTTTCATCCCCAGATCCACACCTCTACCCTGTGTCTGATGTAAATTCCTTCCATTTAAATTCAAGTTGGCTTCTCTTCTACTCTCTGGGACTCTGCTCTACATCTGTCCACATCTGGCTTAGAGTAGAAGCCTCCAAATGCCAGGCCAAGGCCTGACAAAAGAATCCAAGTGGCGCTGGATGCTCTTGAGTGTAGTGAGGGAGGCTCTCATAAAGGCTGCAGGACAGCCACAGAAGGTGGGCTTGCACTTCAGAAACACGCCTGGCCTCTGGAAGCAGGCAGAACAGGCAGATGAGATGGTGTTGGGCAGAAGGTGGACTTGCAGGGAACTTGTGCAATGAATGCCAAGTCCAGGGCTGGCCTGCAGAAATATGGCTTCTGAGGTCAGTGATCACAAATCCCAGTCTCTCTCCTCCCACACCACCGGATTTGCCTTCAGCTGTATCCCTGCCCCCAAAGCCCCATTTCCATCCATCCAGGCATCCCCACAACTAGCTCACAGTTTCCATATAACCACCCGTTGGCTGCTAGCCCCCCAGTCATGCCCCTGGCTGCTCTTCCTTTCCCTCCTCCTGTCTCCAGCATCCCCATGCTCTGGTTCCTCTGTTGGCTCCTTGGCCCTAGTGATTCCTCCTCCGTTTGCACACAATTTCCAGGCATTTATCCTCCTCTTGGGCCAAAAGCAGGCGAGTTTTGTCCTTTGGGCCCTCCCCACCCAGGCTCCCGGGGCCTGCTGCTCTCTCAGACACGCAAGCCCACTGCGCACATGCGCACACTCTAGTCCTCCACCCACCTTCCCCAAGAAAAGTCACAGGCCCATTAGGATCCCACTGCTTGCCAGCCACACTTCTGTGCTTCTGGTTGGGGTAGGTTAATGTGTCAGCTCATCCCCTAATAAGAATTAAAACCCATCACTTGAATGAGACAATGAAAACACAAATTATATTAGCACTTTGGGAAGGTAGAGCAGGAGGCCACTTCTGTCTGTCATAAAGCCATTTGCAAAAGGGCTGGACTGGGGAAGGAGAGAGGAGGGAAGGGCCTTCACTAAGTGCCTCCCCACCCCACTCCCAAACAGGTGCTACAGCTTCTGCCTTGTGTTTTGGGGTCCCCTCAAGGCTCTCCCTGACAACTGAGGGGGGTAGGAATGATGCTGATGAGGAGTCATACTCAGGGTGGGAAGGACTGTGCTGAGGGTGTGGCCAGGCACAGGGAAGGACCCTAGGGGCCTTGGGTTCTTCAGTCCATGCCCTCCACTACTGGGGGTGAGTGAGGGTGGGCCGATGGCACAGGCACAGCCCCACGGGTAGAGTGGACATGGAGAAGAGGGTAGGGGAGGACATCACCTCAAAATATTCAGTACTTAGGACTGTGAGTGTTGCTGGCAGTAAGGGAGGGAAGGCTAGGGTTGAAAGGCCCTAAGTGGGGGAAGGCCGAGAACCAGGATGGAGAACAGGGATAGTGGCTCAGACTCTGGCCCGGGAGACATCTAGACTTCAAGCCTGTAGAAAACTCCCTTGAGCTGCCTGAGCAATCAGCCAAGCCCCAGAAAGCAGCCACCCAGAAAGCCCCTGGCACATTGCATCCCATCGGGTGGGGGGCTCACTGTCTTCTTTGTAGCCTGAAGTCTGTAGCTCCTCCCACACCGTGATCCCATCACCCACCTGTTTCCTCCTACTTTGGATTCTGAGTCTGGTTCACCCTGAGATAAGCTGACACCTGAAACCCAGGCTTTATCCTGTCCAACTTAGAGGCTGTTGATTCTCATCACTGCAAAGGTCCTGGCTGCCCCAAAGAATCTCCCCTCTAGAAACGGGGGCCATCCTCAGTATGCTTCAATATTCTCTTCTAACTCATTTGCTACTTAGAGGGAGGCTGGGGCAACTCCCCGGAAGAATCTGAAGCCCAGAGGGCCTGGAGCCCCTGCTCCCGAAGCGCCATCAGAAGGAAGAGCCTGAAGGAAGCCTCAGCAGCTCTCCACGGAGCACCACAGCCAGGGGTGGACAGGGTTTGATGGTTGTGCAATGTAAACTCCCAACCCCGCCTGCCCATGCACGAAGAGGTGCGTGTGACTTTTCAGGAACATGCCAGCCTCACCAGGAATGACGCACCTGTTTCTCCTCTTGCCGTCCAGTCTATCTTGTGACTGCTTTCAAAGCCCACATGGGTGCTGTGGCAGGAACCCCGCTGACTATGCCCCCTCCACTGTTCTTTGTATGATATGGCAGCTCTCTCCCATTGAGGCACCCGTCCTTGGTCCGCTTAGTACCGCTGTCTCCCCCTTGGCCGGAGCTATCTTCCGATGCCAGCTCTGCTGCCCTTGGACACACCACATTCTGGCAGCCTGGCCATCCACTTCACATGCATTAGTCTTTTGCCCCAGAGGCCCTGACTCAAGTTACAGGAGTGCTTAGCGCTTAGGGACTGGGGATAGAGGAGAGATGCCCCCTCCCTGAGAGGGTGAGGTACAGTAGGCTGTCTTCACACTAGCACTGTGACTGCAGGCTTGGAGCTATGGCTGAGGAGGTGGGGAGAAGGGGGAGGAAAAGGAAGGGGAGAGTGAGGGGGAAGAGAGGGAAAGAGGTGCTTAGACAAAGACCAAGGGACACTTGGCCCTGGCCCAGCAGCTCTCCGACTCAGAAGAGCAAGGTGTATCCCAGGTCAGGAGGCAGTGGAGGAGTTTGAGTGTGTTCAGTGAAGGGAGGGGGGACATTCCAAGTTGGGACATAGTGTATTGTGGAGGAAGCAAGATTTTCAGGTCTCGGACTATTTTAAAAACTATTTATTTATTTGAGAGAGAGAGAGAGCGCAGGAGCAGGAGAGGCAGAGGAAGAAGGAGAGAGAATCTCAAGCAGACTTCCTTCTGGGCACAGAGCCTGATGAGGGGGTGAGAGGGCTTGATCTCACGACCCTGAGATCACAACCTGAGCAAAAACCAAGAGTCGACCACTCAACCGACTGTGCCACCCAGGTGCCCCTGGGCCTGGGACTTTGACTGGAGACTCTGGCTGGGGAAAGCATGCAAGTCTGGGCTGTGGGCAAGGTGGTTCTGGGGTCCCAGGATAGGAGGCAGGAGGAGCAGGACATGAGTACCTGGACCCTTGGCTGGTGGCCACCTGCACAGAAGGGTCCCTCCTTGGCTCCTAAAGATGTCACGGGGTAGAGAGCCTTGGAAGTGTCCAGTGCCAGGCTGAAGCAAAATGTGAGGGCAACAGATTTACCCACATAAGGGCACGAAGCTAGATGATCTAATGAAGAAGGGTGAGTTAAAGCAAGAGGCAATGGGGTCTGGGCCAAACACAGTGTTCCATTCCTTGAAACTGGCTGTTCCCTTAACCAGCTGGACCCCCAAAAGGGTCCTAGTGGTGGTCAGTTGCCAAAGGGTCCCCCCATAGGCTCTGGGGGAGCACCAAGTATGCAGATCAGGAAGCCCCAGCTTCCTCTGGGATGCCTTCGCTGTACCCACTTTTTCTTCCCTGAAGGTACCACATTGTACTGTTTGCCAGTGGTGGTGTCATGTGGGTGTCTCGTCTTGCCAACTGCATTGGATGGTAGGTGCCTGGAGGACAGGCCCACGTGGTGTCCTTCATTCATATCTTTTGCTCTCTGCGTGCCTGACAAGAGTTTTTGAGGAAAAGCCTGCTCCCTTCTTACCAAGGAAGAGGCTGACCCAGCACTTGGGTCCTGAAGAAGACCACTGGATAGCTAGCTGAAGGAAGGGGGGGCAGAGCCAATCAATGTACATTCCCGAGAAGCCAGGCAGTGCTCCCAGGGCGAGGGCAGTGCCAAAAGGCAAGAGCAGGGAGAGGAGGCAGCCTGCAAAGAGAGAGAGGTGGAGCCCCGCCAGGCCCCTCAGAGGCTCCTGGGCTGCAGGCCACCGTCCTGCTCTGGAGGGTCTGGAAGTAAGTAGGGCCCCATGCTCTTCATCTAGGAAACCTGCTGCCCTGCCTTCTCCTTCCCTCTGCTCCCACCTTTCTGTGACTCCAGCCCTGGCACTGCCATTAGTCTACCCGGTTGTGGCCTTTCCCCTTCTGTGTGTCAGGCAGGCAGCAGTGACAGCCAGATCACAGGACTGTGGCACCCGGAGGTAGGAGCTGACAGCCCTAGGAGACACTGACGCACAGAGAACAGGCACCCTGGGCTGGGGCTGCCCGGGCATCCGTGGGGACCAGGTTTGGGGAGAGCAAGGGAGCACTAGTGTCAAGTATGCCAGGTGGGGGATGTGGGCAGGTGGGGGAGAAATGTCTCCCCTCCCAGAATTGCATGGAGGTGTCCAGTCAGGCCCATGCTTCCTGGTTTGGTGCCTGGAGACAAGGGGACTAAGGTGAAGGGCGCCTGTGCCTGGGGCCGAGTAAAAGCCGGAGCCAGGATATCGAAGAATGAGTCCTTGGGGAGGCGCGGAGTGTGTGGGGAGAGCCTCCCGTGTGGGGGCAGGAGAGCAGAGCAGATAGGGCGGGGAAGAGAAGACCAGCTTGGCCAGGCCCTGCCTCTGCTCACATGCAGGCTGAAGGGAGCAACAGCTGGGCTCCACGCCGCCGCCCCCACCGCGCGCTCCTGCCTATGCAACAAGTGTCACGTCTGCATCTTGGCACATCATCCCGAGTGGCCCGCACCCCGGGGCCGCGCGCAGCCCCTAGCCTCCAGGGGCCGGAAAACCTTCAACTCGGGAGGCCAGCCCACCAGGCTCAGGTCAGCTCCCTTCACTCACTGATTGATCCATGGGGAGTCGGACATGCTCCCCCGCCTACCCACACCCACACCCACACATACCCGCCACCACGTGGGGTGCAGGGAGCGGGACCCCGGGCGCACGCGCGCGGCCGGCAGCTCCGCGGACTTCGCGGGGCCGCGGAGAGGGGCAAGGCACCCGGCGGGTGATGCCTGAGACCGAGCCGAGCACCCTCCCCGCCAACAATCCCCCCACAACCGCCCCTCCCTCCCCCGGCCGATCCCGGCCCAAGGCGCCCCGTCAGTGAGTCTGCGGCCCGGCGCGGCTGGCGCGTGGCTGCTCCTGCTCGGCTTGTGCCCGGGTCCGGGAGGCGGAGAGCGCGCGAGTTGGGGGCGGAGGGAAGGGAGGGCGTCGGCTGTGGTCCAGGAGGGCGGCGAGGGGCACGCGGGCGAGTGGCAGGGCACGCACTCACCTCCACACGCCGCGGTCAGAGAGAGCCAGAGCAGCAGGAGCGCCTGCACGCAGCGCCGCAGATTCATGCTGCTCCTCGGCGGCCGCTGCAGCCCTGGCCGGGCGCCCCGAGGCGAGGAGAGGCGCGAGCCGCGGGTCGTGCGTGCGGGCGCAGAGCTCGCGTGGCTCCCGGGCTGCGCCGCAGGCTGGCCAGCTGCCGCGCTCGCTCGCCGCCTCCTCTCCTGCAGCCTCCCTCTCCTGCCGCCGGGGCAGCGCCGCCAAGCTGGCCTCGGCTGGCGGCTCTGGGGACAGAGGCGAGCTCTTTCCAGGAGGCTGGCTGCTCGGCGGCGGCTTCCCACTGCCCAGGGCCCAGGCTGCCAGCGAGAATGCTCCCCGCTCACTCCAGGGGCTGCATTTTGTAGCTTGTGGCTTGGCCACGAGCCCACTTGGTCATGTGGTCATCGGGAGGGCTGAAGGGGGGGCCAGGAAGAGGGAGAGGGAGCGAGCCTCCCGCACCGCCCCCCTCCCAGCACGCATTCTGCAGCCTCAGCCAGGGAGCGAGAGGGAACCTCGAGGTGGCCACACAACAAAGGCGACAGGGCTGTTCTGACAACCCACAACCGCTCTCAGGACAATGCCCGCCTGGCCCGGGGCCAGAGGGTTTAGGAGACCTGAAGGATTTCAAACACAGGAAGCTTTTGGGGCGGTGGAGGGGCACACTTAACCCTTTCTCACCTGGCTTCCTTAATGGCTGTCAAGGAACCGGGGCACTCCCGGGAGGACTCGGGCCCAGGCTGCCCCCACTCATCCCCTCCACCTCTGACCAGGCTCCTGCCCTCTGCCACTCCCCAGCCAAGATCCACCTCCTCCCATTAGCCCTCCTTTCTCCTCTGCATCTTCAGCTGGGTTTGTCTTGGGGCTAACTGTTTAGGCTTATGCCCAAGACTGTTTAATTGCCCAGGGCCCCCGGAGGCATCTTCTACCTGCAATGCCCACCCCACCCCATCCTGCCTCCCAGTTCTTCATTCTTGCAATAGCACCTCAAATCCCATCTCATCCAGAAGACTCTCCAGGGTAACAGTAATCCGGGAAGGGCTGCCCCCTCACCCCAGGATCCTCCTCCTTGCCGTTGGGACAAGCAGCAGCTTCTAGGGTGCCCCTTTCTTGTTCCCCATCATCATGAGGGAGAGAGTCTACCAGCTCTGAACAGTCTAGGCTGGATTCATTTTGCCCCTACTTGGGATTCCCCTTTGTAACAGGGTCTTGAAGTTGTTTGCCTTCCCAAGCTAGACTGTCAGCTCTTATAGTCTGGGAGCTCCTAAGGCAAGGGACTGCCTCTTTCGCCGGGCTGGGAACCCCCTAAGACAGGACCTTGTCTTCTCATTCTTCTGCATCTTTCCAAAGTTCCCAGTATCAGACTCCGCACATAGGTGGCACTCAACACATGTTAAAAGACTACATCAAAAGGTGTTTCCACATTTCAGCTAGCCAGGCTGATTCTTTAAGTGCAGATCCAGATTTACACACACACACACACACACACACACACACACACAAATAGGACAGTGTGTATGTGTGCCATAAGAGATGTGAGATGCTTTGGTATATTTAAAATCTTTTTAAAATGTTGAAATAATCCAATATATACACGATTTATTTATTGTCCGTACCCCCTCCCCCTACCGCCAAAACTGTCAGGTCCACAAGAAAGGGATTTCTGCTTTGTTCACAGCTGTATCCCCAAACACTGACTGGGACGAGGTTGATGCTCAATACACAATTTTGAATATATGAATGAACTTCGGGGAAAAAAAATCCCGATTGCTTCAATCAAGGCAGTGGGAAGGGAATAAAATAGGGTTCATGTTAATAGTCTACGGCCCCATTAGCCACAGTACAGTAGGAAAAAGGCAGAGACATGTGAAGCAGAGCACATCATCCATAAGGCCTATGCTGTGAGCAGTGGGCGTTTGTAATATGACATCATTTCCCCTGGTGCCTTTCCCCTGGAAAGACTCTTTTAATCAGGAGGAAAAACACCTGGCCTCTGGTCTCCACCCTTATCTGCTGTAGGACCTTACTAGTGTCACCTACTTACTGGATTTCATGAGGATGATCATCTCCAGCCTCCCCTCTTCAGGGTTGTAATGGGATAAGTTAAATGAGATAAAGTACCTGAAGGCACAGTGCAAATAGGGAATAAACCCTTGTAGGGTCGTTTTGAAGAACCGTGATCAAGCCCGTGCAACCCCAAATGAGTGCCCCCATAACTAGGTTAATAGAAGCGTTTATATTTAATCACACCTTTACTAGGGTGTATAATGGGCTATTTGTTAAGCAGTTAGAGCTGTGCTTTCCAATACAGTAGATAATGGATAACATTTAAAATAAATTGAAAAAGTCATTGCCTCCATGACACTGGCCTCATTTCAGTTGCTTAGTAGCAACATGTGGCCAGTGGCTACTGAATTGGACAGCACAGAATAGAAGCTTCCAATCATTGCAGAAAGCTCTTTCAGACAGTGCTGGGTTAAAGCACCTCATTCATTCTTCCTTTTTTCTGTAATCTTTTTTCCCACTTTACGTAATCTTCAAAATGCTCAAGGGAAAAAAAATACAAAAGCAAACAATAGTGTTCAAGGCAAGTAGCACTCAGTAAATAGAAGGCACACATTTAAAAGCAAGATTTAAAGAGCTGAACACAAGGGAGAATCATATTTTAATCTAATCTTTCCCTCCATTTAACCAAATTGCACCCATTTTTTCAGTCCCAGATCTCATCTTCCTCCTTTTTCAGGCCACTCTTGCCCACAGAGACTTTGCCCTCTTCGTCACAGCTATGGCTATACCTTTCATATGGCTGCAGTAACCTGCAGTTACTCCTGAAATGAGTTGGGAGTACTTTCATATTTGCATGTCTCGCTTTGCGGGCCTGTGGAGAGGGTCCACCACCAGCATACCCATTCTGATATTGAGGCATGTGAGGCAAGGAATGCAACTCTGATTGCTCACTCTGACAGCCCCACGGGCTCTCATATTTTTTTTTAATTTTATTTATTTATTCATGAGAGACACACAGAGAGAGGCAGAGACATAGGCAGAGGGAGAGGCAGACTTCCTGTGGGAAGCCTGATGCAGGACTCCATCTGAGGACCCGGAAATCAGGACCTGAGCCAAGGGCAGACACTCAACCACTGAGCCACCCAGGTACCCCCTCCCATATATTCTTAATGTCATATTCATGACATTCATATTCATGACCGATTTTCATATCTGTCTCCACTCACTGGACTTTAAGGTCACCGGAACAATAGTACCTAGACAGTGCCTAGCACATAGAGTTGGCACTTGGAAACTGCTTGTTGAAGGAATAACTGCTGGCATAGCTCTCTGCTGCCTTTGTTCATTTGTTCAAGGAAGATGAGACTATTGAGTTAATATCAGCAAATAAACGTTTTAAGGCGTTTCTTCACGAGTGAGGAGGAGGTACATGAAACCTCCCCCACTCTCCTGCCCCGAGGCAGCAAACAGGTGTGAAGTGTGTTGTTGCACATGAAGATTGGGTGTCAGGGACAAGACTCAGGTTCCAATCAAAGTCAGGAGCAATCCTGGAGGTAAGGGTAGGACTCAGTGTATTACTGGCCACGAAGATGAGATAACTGACCTATGTGAAGCCCCTCTGTGACTTGTCACCCTCAACACTGCTATGCACAAGCTATTCAGCATTGCTTAGCGTCCTATGTCACCACCACCAGTTAATGCCATTCAGTTGACTCATCCAGCATTCTGTTCACTGTGGTATATTAGAAAGAGCTCAGCTTTTGGAACTTCAAATAACCAAATTCAAGTTCCACCTCCTCTATCCCATTCGTTAACTGTGTGGCCTTGGAAAAGTTAACTAACCTCCGTTTCTTCAGCTGTTAAATGAGGGTAGTAATAGTACCTACCTTATTATGCTTGCAAGATTAAATGAGATAATGCAAGTAAAGAATTCAGCAGTGTGGTCCCTAGTCTACAAAAGTTGCTTATTCAATGTTAGTTTTCTCTTCTTCCTGATATGCCCCTCCCACTTAGGGCTCTGGCCTCTCACCTCTGGCCTCTTGAAACTGATCCAGAAGGAAAGGCTGTCTTTGCTCTGCTCCATCCACACGTCTTTTTAGTAGCCATCACAACTGCTCACTGTCTTATTCCCCAAAAGCACTGATCTCTGCTGGAGCCAATCTGATGAATGTACTTGATTCAGGGAGTTAATGTGTGATGGTGGTTTGAGGTTTTGCCTCCTGGGTGTGGTATTCATTTTAATGGGGGCCTTTGGGAGACAATGTCCCATCCTAAGGTACTATCAAGCTTTGCCCTTTTGAGCCAGGAGATACTCTAGTGACTTTCATTTACTTGCTCTAAATAGAGCTCACCCTGCTTCAAAGTCAATGCAAAAAGGGATTACCTTTGGCAACTTACAACCCAACTTTTAACCTGTGGGTCCAGCCACTGAAACCACAGAGTGCGATCCTGTTGCAGCCCATTCCTCTCTGCCTGTCCCCAAAGGTGCTGCTGCTGCCGCCGATGCTGCTGCTGCTAATATAGCTAAAATTTATTGAGCATGTGCCATGTGTCAAGCACTGTTCTAAATGCTTTACATGTGTTAATTCATTTAACCCTCATACCTATGAAGTAGTCCTATTCCTTATCATCCCCATTTCACAGATGAGGCAACAGAGGTTTTCTCAGGCCTGCCTAACTTCAAAAGCCTTCACTGAAGGCTCTTCCCTCACTGAGCTTTGAAAAGCAAATTCCCACATCTTTAGCCCCATATATCACTTTATTTGCACTTAAAAAAATATTACAGGGGCACCTGGGTGGCTCAGTGGTTGAGCATCTGCCTTTGACTCAGGTCATGATCCTGGAGTCCTGGGATAGAGTCCCGCATCGGGCTCCCCACAGGGAGCCTGCTTCTCCCTCTGCCTATGTCTCTGCTTCTCTGTGTCTCTAATGAATAAATAAATAAATAAATAAATAAATAAATAAATAAAATCTTTTAAAAATATTACAAGTAAAAATGTATTGACCTTGAGAAAGAGTATGTGTCTATTTAATATTGCTTCTAATTTATCATAGGAATTACTTCTCAAAGACGTTAATCACAGTTGGATTGAAAGAGTATTTGGGGGATGTGGCACTATTGTTTATGTAAGTATACCACTTTATAAATCTACTGGAGATCCAAAGGAATTTGCCTTTGTGTAATATGAAACAAAAGAACAAGCAACGAAAGCTATTGAGGTGGGTCCAGAAACTTTGGAAAGAAAGCTTTTCTTAACCTTCCTGAATTGGACTCTCCAAGTGTCCTGTTCTCTTCTAGAAGGCTCAC